GTTCGTTTATCTCTGCCTCGCGGAGTGTAATGATGAGGTTCTAGTAGTGTGGCGCGTGCTACTTATGCTGAAAAATTTAAGTGGTGTATACCATCAATCGGATGTAGAATGTCTGCCGGCAGAAGACTGAAATCAAAACAGGATTGAAACGGCAGAGCAGTCAAAATAATGGCAAAATTAGAGGATCAATGAAGTACATAAAGGACAACCCAAAAACGTTGTGCAAACAAAATATTTAATATATGATTTCCGTATTTCACTGAGCCACTGCGTAATTTCGCGTTTAAAACTAATTAGTTTATCCGAGGCTTTACCAGAGAGAAATGTTAGGTGATAGATCACCATCACAGTTTTTAAGCAACGTTCAAGTCTTAGTGGGCGACGACACATTGCGTGAAACAGATATAAAACAAGGATGAACACAAGCTCTCCCATGCTATGTCCAACACTGTTTGAATGCACAAGACCCTGAAACCTATTTATCTCAGTGCGTATTGTAGGTAGAATATTGGAAAGAGGTCCACCAAATGGATCACGTACGATACATCATGCACAAAAAGAAGAATCATCGAAAGACTCAGTCATAGCAGGACTCGTTGTGAGTGTGAAAGGTCCCACAGAGGTTGTCACCAAATCGTGAATGCGTCATACAGACAGGAGCAGGTGACCACAACGACCGAGATCCAAACCAAAGAACAGGTCACAAATGTGACAATCTGGGTAGGTCTATTGGTATTAATAAAAGCTTGGGGTCGAATCATCCACGTGTAGTCAACTATGCACTCGGCCTAAAAAGATATATATATATATATATATATATATATATATATATATATATATATATATTTATATATATAATATATATAATATATATATATATATAAGACAAATAACCCCTTCCAGATTGTTGCGACTGAGGAGAGGTAAATGAACAGTTGCTTGTTATGTGTTAGAGACAGAAATTCAGGTTTGAACTTTTCGGTGAATACTGGTGCTCTTCTCAATATCATTCCTTAGAAAAAAACCGAGTTGGGTGGAGAAACTTTCCTCAATTACACTTCAAGCGGCCAAAAAACTAAATTCACGACGTTTGAACAGTAAACTTTGACACTCGATTTGGGATTTACGAGGCAATTCTCTTTGTTATTCACTGTAGCTGCTTTAGATCTGACAATACTTGGAGTGAACGTTTTAGAGAGATATGAACTACTAGTTGACACTTGAAAACGGTTTTTGACACTGAAAGAAAGTTTGAGTAGCGCGGAAGGCGAAAAGTTACATCACTTCCCTAAATTTGATACAAACGCTACCAGCGAAAAATACGAAATAACAAGATATACTCCCGAGACCTCGAAACCTAACGAAACCGAACCTTCAGCATTCTGAAATTGAACCAAAGGTAGCTCATAAAAACAAAGTTGAAGGCACACCGGCGTTCGCTAGACCAGTGGACCGGCATCAGATAAGCATAAAATTACTAGGGTCGAGTTCGACTACATTCTGCATCTAGGTATTATCCGTTCCTCTGATAGCTAATGGAAATCCCCTTTGATGGATTGTAGACCATTCACCCGTCAAACCGTACTATTTAGGTACCCAGTACCTCATACCCAAGATTTTACAAACAGATTACAGGGTATGAGCACTGTTACTAAAACTGACTTGGTCAGGACATATCATAATATCCCAGCAGCTGAGGAAGATGTCTATAAGACAGATAATACTACACCTTTTGAACTGTTCGAGTTTGTTCGCATGTTATTTGGCCTAAGGAATGTGGCATAAACATTTCAAAGATTTTTAGATAACCTACTTTAAGATATGCCATTTGCACATGGCTGTATAGACGATTTGTTAATTGCCAGTCCCGATTTGCAATCACATGAACCGCATTTAAGGGCAGTGTTAAAACGGCTAGTTGAAAATGGAGTGAGCACACATCAACGTAAATGTGTTTTTGGCATTCGAACTTGAGAACTTCTCAGACACGACAAGCCCGGAAGGGGTTAAACCTATCACAAAAGAAGTGGACACTATTAGACAATGCCCTACACCAAGTCCTCTAACACAACTTAGAGGTTTTCTAGGTCTAATAAACTTTTATCGAAGATTCATGCTTGGTTGTACTCAACTAATACAACCTTTGATAGATTCGACTGAACAGAAAACGAAAGAATTTAAACTGAATTCTGAGACTGTTGAGGCTATTAAACAGCTAGTAGATAAACTGACTCAAATGTCTGCGTTGATATATCCGATTTCCACTCTCTATTTGCTTTTATGCTGAATGCTCCGGACAAAGTAGTAGGCGGTACTCTTAACCAACCGGTTTAGAAATCCTGAAAACCGATTGCTTTCTTCTCGAAACGACTCGCCCCAGCTGATAGGAGATTGGTCGTTGAGAGGAGACTAATTTAAATCTCAGCTATCTCATCTTCTAGACTTCAACAGAATCAATTGCACTGGATATCATCTCCAGGTTAATGGGATGATGGAACGTTTTCATCGTCGGCCAGGAGCTGCTCTGATATCATGGTCAAACCCCAGTCAGTGGGCAGAAATCCTCCTATTAGTTGTGTTGGAAAGAAGAACAGTTGTCGAAACCGACTCACAGTGTTCGGCAGCAGAACTAGTCTCCCGAAAGTCTCTGAGATTATAGGGTGATTTTGTCATTCTTCATAATGACAGTAAAAAGCTTGATTTAGGAAATACTGTGGACCAAATACTCGAACTTGAACCAATTAATAATCGTGTAGAGCCGCAAGTTACATATGTACCCAAGGATCTGAGCAGTTGCATATAAGTTTAGGTAAGGTGTGACAGTAAAAGCACCAATTGTCCTGCATTCGAAGGTAATGCATAGTTATCTCAAGAAAACCTAAATATTTCGTGGTACGAAAACAAATAAACACTGAGTTATTAAGTAATGGTTGGCTAAAACAGGCTTATCAAAATGCTGACCAGTTTGCCTGACCAAGTAAACACAGAATTGACAAGTACCAACGAGAACTCTGAACGGGTGGCTAAAAAGGTTGAATGAGCACAACGGATTTATCAAGCAGGTGCATCTACAGTTTTGTAACAATGTGCCTAACTAGGATTTTAGTTTATTAAACGCTGTGCGTTTATTCAAATAACAAAAACAAAAGAATAAATGTTTTATTCGTACTGTTTCATCGATTTGACTTTATTAAAACACTACCAGAACAGTAGTAGTATTATATCAAACGCTATCCACCCTTCTTTGGGTCCATAGAATTATCATCTGCTTCGTTATTAGTGGTATCATAATAATAGATCTAGTACTAAAGTTGTAGATTTTGTTGGATTACGGTCTACTATGGTATTAGTAGTGTTCTAATAATAGACTTAATCCTAAAATTGTAGGTTTGTCATGGTGTAACTGCCTAATCTATAAAATCTTAAGTGGAAGTCATATCATCGTCTACACTAACTCATTGCATCGTAACAGTCACCAATACATGGTGGAGAACAATCTTAGGCTAGAGATAGAACAACATATTTAATATGAGTATGAGATGTTAGGTTAGATTCAACAGGGACCACGCCTGCAAGGCCAAGCCATGCCATCCGATCAATCCGAATTCATTTTAATTAATTGTTCTCGCCTTCTCTATCGTTGGGTTTTCTCCGCGTTAACTATTGAACATCTATTTCCCCAAATGTCTCGTATTTAGCTTTGATGATTGTGTGGTTAAGGCCTAATGCCATTACAGTTTGTCATGATATAATTGCCTAATTTATAAGATCTTACGTGGAAGTCACATCATCGTCCACACTGACTTATCGTATCGTAACAATTAACTACATGATCTCCGAAGCTTGTAACGAACACATTTAGGCTAAAGATAGAACAATATATTTAATGTGAGTAAAGATAAGTTATACAGAACACGTCTGCGAAGTTGAGCCATACCATCTGACTGGACGACTTATCCCAGCGTTCTTCATAGTTAACCTCTTCGTTTCAGTTGTCGAATATAAGTCTTTCCAGTAATTGTATGCTCGGCTTAAAGGGTCGTGTGGTTAATGTCCAATGTCACTATAGATCTTTTACTTTTATGTATGAGCGTTATATTCATTTTATGCTGAATATGTAAGCCATTTGTTCCTAAATAATCCGCCGAGTAATATGAATTGAAAAGATATCAGTAAAGGTAGGTCACAAAGGAACGAGGAGTCTTCCATTGAAGTGAGTGGTGTGAGCAGGCACCACCTATGTAGTTTGTCATTTTTCCAGAATTTTTTGCTAACAGAGGAAGCGACTAAAAATATTGGATAAAAGTGTCGAACAAAAACCCTGTGAGTGCATACCATAGAGTCGAACAATCAACCCTCGTAATAGGGATGAATTCTGAAAAGAACTCAAATTGTCAATGCGTTCTGGAAACCAAATACTTATATGGAACCGAACATTTATCAGTTATGACTGCGCACTTCCTTTTTGAACCTAATTATTTTGTCTAAACAGTGGAGCGATTCTTCAGGTTGGACGACTTGCATTGGTTTTCTTCGAAGTAGATTCTTGCTTATTTTTCTACTGAGGGCTACTCAACACCAGCATAGTGTCAGGTACCTCACAAGCGGCACTTCCTCAGATATTCTTTTTTTTTCGTTTGCTTAACCTCATTTATCGCTCAAGCTCTGATCCTAATGCATAGAACACGTCCAGTAAGTCATGAGAAAGAAATTAAATGCTACAATACAAGATAACAAACTAATCAAGTATATGACATCCACTAAGTATCCCCGAACACTAACAGGGCGCTAGTCATCACTGATTGAAAGTCAAACGTTGGACTAGTTGTTAATTCTCCTTAAGGCTGTGGAAACAAAATTGATATGTTCTTGCTGGATGAGTTGGTCGATCCGACATTTCCATGGCAGCCGACTCTAGCTAATGTAAAATTTCAGGTTAAATAGTTAAGAGTTGACCAAAAACACTTAAGTAAATATCAGAACATTAAAGTATTAACTTTTTACTCTTCAGTACACTATGTTGACTAGCAATTAATATTATTTCTCCACTCGTTCTCATATCCACAACTCATATACTTCTATACTTTTTCCGCCTGCTTAAATAAACAACTATCCTACAATATACCCTTCTTAACGCTTATACTCTGATTGGCAATATATACTTTATACTATAGTCAACAGAGGCACTGCATCGATGCTTTACCCACAGTCCATAGCTTGTAACTGTCTGATAAGCTTGTAAAATGGTACTTATAGAAATAGTGCTTTCCAACAGTTTGTGAAACAGAGGATTGCGCGAGGTATGACGTATATACAAAAATAATGCTAAATGAGCCTAAGATCACAAAAGGAGGGAGGGTGGAGTTACTGACCAGCATGCATTGATGGTGAGGGCGATAACTTCAATCCACCCATGTTTGTGGGGACAGAACATTTTGTATGTATCAGGCTCCTCATGACTGAGAATAATTCAATTAATCTGTGTTATAGATTGTTTTCCTACGCTCACCACTCAAACTCATGTTTCCAATATTATGCTGGATTAGCTATTCTACTAAGACAACCCATAACATGCTAACTCGGATTTTTACACTAGGATTGTGTGGCTGGCATCGGAAAAACAAAAAAAGAAAAAAAAAGTTAGACAATAAAAGATGTAGTCATTAATATTCTTAACACTTCACCCTCTATATACACACCCTTCTTATAAACCGCTTTCCTAGTAACAGCCTTGACTTCCTTTCCTTCATGTGAGCTTACTCCAACTTGTTAAACATCACAACTCATTGTTCTTTATTAGTTCATTCTATAATATGGAGCCTCTGACTTCATTTCACTAACAAGACATAATATGAATTTATTCTAATTTATTATACCTCTGTCCGTTCTACTACACTATGTTAAGCAACGTTTTGCGTTCATATCCAAGTGCCTTGCTGCTCTTCTGTTCCTCTTTTTTCTTCAGAATCTTGTTCTGAGAGCATGGCTATGAAACTTCTGACGTTTGGAACAAACTTGATGGGGTGATCTTATCCGCAACGCAACCATGTAAACTTAATGTATCGGTCATTTGTGCGTTCAAGTAACCACATATTTTGTCATTCCATAATGTATTTTCAATTAAATAACTAGATTATCCAGCTAATTTTGCTCTTTTTCATTTTTTATTCGCCACGTCCGACTGCGTTACACTGCACGTCCATTGCACATAGTTGATTGTTTCCAGATAGACTATCAGTGCATGACTTTACTGAAGAAAGGTTTGTTGTACTGTAAACTATGTTTTTATGAACAACTGCCTGTTGTCTTCAGTCGGAAAGCAATATATATATTCTTTGTTTTCTGTTGGGTAAGTTCAATTGGCCTATATTTCGTGTTTTTGTTTTATCGTCTTAATTATGTCCATTTAACTACTTTAAGCAATATGCCTGTGCAAATGAAACAATAACTATGACACTTGCTTAGTTTAGTTTTCTTGGTTGTTGTATAATTCAGTTTAGTTGAAAGAATTATGGTATACTTAAGTATAGTGCTTGAAGCCTGTAACGAAACAGATCAGTCTAGTAAGTAGAGTTGCCTGTTTCTGATGAGTATACTGATTCAAATCGGTCTGATTAAAAATTGGAAAAAAGTACTTTTGGTACTGTTGCTGTCATACATTATAAGCGATAAGTATGTTTGGTGTTTATTTCTAGATTGTACATCTATCACTGACCGTATTTCATGATCACTGTCATTAAACAATTTGAAGTTTGTTACACAAAGAAAGTAGCTAAAGGACCGTGAAATCAATGTAAAACTCTAAGGACAGAATCTAATAACACTTTACTGCTTTCTTCATGGTCAGCGGAAATTTACTGACGAAGTTGGTCGCTTGCTATATTTTTCAATCCGATTGAGCTACATTGTTTGATTTTTAAATAAGCCCTAGTTTGAGAAAAAGAAATAAACAACTTGTTTAAATTAATGGTTATAAGGAAGTGGGTGTTCGCTCGAATCACTAGTAGATTTATTATGTAGTTACGGTTAATCAGATTGTGTAACTTAACTACAACGTACAAGATAAACCTACCTATAAGGAGGTCGCGTTTTCTCTCCACCCAGAGAAAATAAATCTTCTTTGAAATACCGACATATCATATAATCATTCAATAACTTTTTACGCCTTGAATGCTATTAATAGTAAACCAAACAAATAAGTCGCACTTGCTTCTCCATAGTTCGCATCAAATATATACAACGGACTATCATCTTCGTTTTCCTTCATATATCGAATAAAATACTTCATTTTTAATTTAACAGGACAACCTTTATCATCTTCACCACATTTGAACCTCTCATTGTGATACTTTTTATCCAAAAGCTAGAATATGAAATAGTCTACACAATACAAACTAAATACCTTTAGTGTCCAATTTTCACCAGCCTTCCAATCTGTTTGAGCGTTATGAATTACGACAGGTTGGTAAGGGTGTTCATATTCAGCTACAAATTCTTCATAAGCAACTTTGCAAGCATCAATACGTGGACAACAATCACGGACAGTACTTAGAGACAAGTTGAAGTTATCCGCATATTTACAAGAATACCAACTATGTGGAGAGTCGCCAAGTTCTGATCTGGCTTTTAGTTTAGCCGATCGAATTCTGCGTTCATATTTACTATGTTTCGATGACATCTTAAATGTGAAAAAAAACATTTCCGAGAAAATGGTTTATTATTATTGATTAGACAATCTTACTTAAGTTAGAATAATCAGAATTTTGTAGCATTTGATCATTTTGTCACCCGTTCTAAACTCTATTAAGAACTTTATTCTATTTGGAGTTTTGCAAAACTAAAACAATCTAGATGTTATTGACACAAAACGAAAATACTGATAATATAAAATCTTTCCTTGACATCTCAGAGCCATACCTTAGTTACAAACAAACAAAAATGCACAAACTGAATAATCCATTTTTGAGGTTACCTGATATATCACATACTTCCTCGACCATATAGGATGGGAAACGATTGTATTCAGGACAGTGGGTGACTTAATTAACATCATTGACCTTTGGCGTTACTGGTCAGACTTATTTATGGACAGCTTTTGAGCGACACTAAAAAGACCTTTAGAATGCCCACCTACATACTATGGCTAAATGAGGGTTAGAAACCAGTGTAAGGAATTAGGGTTAACTATTACCATTGATAGTTAGGGTTAGGAATTCAAGACCTGTTGTCATAAATTTGATTGGTTCATCCGAACTGCTATATGATTACTTGTCTTTGCTGTTGATTTATTAGTAATACTGACCCCAAGCGACCACAAGTGAAATCGAATACAAAGTTTTGCATGCTTGCTCCTTAACCAGGTTTTTGCGAAGAATTTAGTTGTACTGATCCCAAACAGTTTATCACTTTTGAATAGATGTTTCACCTTCTAGACATTTAGTAACAAAGTCCGGACTCTCGTTTACAACTCAGAATCGTCAAAATGGTTTGCCTTGCCCTGATACCGAAAGCGAAATTTACAAGCCCCAACCAAATTGCGTAGGTCTAACGAAACATATAAATGGACAGTGACATTTGCCTTGGCAACTATCGCTGTCTCGAGTAGTAGTCTGATCAAAATACCAGTGAGACTAGTTTATGGACGACTTTTAAGCGGTGCTCAAGTGATCTTGAAAATGCCTACTCACTTCCTAGGGTTATGAATTAGTAAGGAGTTAATTAGAATTTACAGCTGGGTGTTGGTTAATATCTAATGTAGTGCCAAAATGCTATTTAGTCATGCGGACGAATGAACTTCGCACTTAAATCCGAAACTTATCTCAAATCTGACCAGTTCTTCTACAAATTATGGTTTAGCTGCTGCTGTCGGGTTTGTAATCCACTGACGCAGCCTAATTTATTAATCTTTAGGCTCCGCAATATTCGTTAACTATTTAGCTGATTACTAGTTCATGCAAGAATATATTTTCAAAAACAACTTGATGCTTAATCTCCGTATTGTGTCTGTAAACTATATGAATTAAAAGTCATCATTGAAGTTACTTTATTATCTGGGTCCTCAGATATAACAGCATGCATCCTAACACTTTCTCTACTAAAATGACTGATACATTACAATTTATGGACGATCTGGAGCAGTTCAAAAACGGTCTCCCGCTATTTGAACTTGTTGGGTTTAAAACGCACTTGGGATCATCATGAACAGACATTAAGTATGAGGATGCGCCACAATAATGTGCATCACAGTTCGTGTTAGATCATTATGAAAACCAAAACTCTGAGTCTTAACCCTATCATTATAAATCGTTCACATATATATTGGCTATTTTCCTGATGACTAAACATGCCATGAATTTGTTACGGTCATTTGGTGGGTTGCTTAGGATTACTCTTACAATTCAGCTTTGACTCAAAGGTATTTATCTAGGAAAGTTTTACTATGGTCCCCAAAGTGCTAGCAGCACAACTGCAGTAAACACGCACGGGATTTAAAAGACGAGCTTCGTATGACCTTATTGGAGAAGATTAACAAAAATCAGTCACTTCAAATAACTCTGAACAGAAAACAAGAAACCTTCGCTTGACAGGCTTCCTTATCTGACAGCAGTGGATCACCGATAATTCCAGGTAGGAACCTAGATTTATTTGACCCGTGCAATTTCGGAACACCGGGGTTTATCATACAAAGAGTGGCTTGAAAAACGGGACCTCTTTACTCTGTCCTATCGCGGACTAAGGGGGAGATCTAATTTCGATGTACAGAATACTGAGAAATGATTTCGGGCCTAACTTATTTTCTCTCTTTCGTCCCACTAGATCGGGACACCTCAGAGGACATAGCAGGCGGGTGGAAAAGCCAAGAATGAGCAAAATACCCGTGGCATACAGGTTTTCACACCGAGTCATCAATACTTGGAATCTGCTGCCTGCAGCAATGGTGTCCGCACTTTCAGTGGACTCTTTCAAGAGAAGACTGGACACTCACAGAAGCATACTAGAAAAGGAATGACATAGGCCGTAGGCGTTCTGTCCTTACTACACAAATCTGAATCTGAAAAGAAAATATATGTTGGTACACAATCGAGGAATATTGTCTTTAGTCTTTAAGATGATGTTTTAGCGATAAATAAATCCCCAAACTAAATAGCTCTGTAAGTTTTAGACATTGGATGCTGACCATATGTTTTAGTGGACTCATCTAGCTTAAGGCCCTCAGTCATGCATCCGCACCAGATCACATATGGTAACGCTGTGCTCAACATCTACCGCAATCGCTAGCCAGATTAGATCAGAGAATTCCGATATATTGGTTATCGCCAAATACACTCTTCCGATCTCCTCCACTCTGTCTCTTGATTTCTCTCGGTGGGAACAAAGCATATTAGAAGGTGTTACTGGTAGAAGCGTTGTCAAACACTGAATACCTGTATCATCTCCAATGTCAGGCTTCCGCTTTAGAGACTTTTGTGAAGTCGCTCAAACCAGCTCATCAGGTAAAAAATTCCAGAATCTGACTACAGGTGAACAGTAAAAAGTGTGCCTACAGTTCGTTCTGTTGTGTTGTGTCTCCGATTTCTGGGTGTAACCTTTAAGACTTGTGTTGAAAATGAGCTTATGTGGATACTTAAATGAATTCTCAGGAATATTTAAGGTCATGTAAGTCATTAGGAGGTCATCTCTGAGACGCCTATATTCTAATGTGTAAGGGTTTGAGGATGCCACAGGTATTCGGAGTTTGACAACGCTGTAACCAGTAACACCTGATACGGGACGTACCCACCAAGTAAAATCAAAAGACAAAGGCGGGGAGGTTCGAAGATGTATTTGATAGGCTATCAATATATCGAGGATCGTCTGATGTAATCTGGTTAGTGATTGCAGGGGATGTTGCACACGGCGTTCCCACTCGTGATCTGGTACGGATGCATGACTGAGTGCCTTCAGCTAAGTGAGTCCATTAAAACTAATGTGGTCAGCATCCACTGTCGAACACTTGAAGGGCTATTTGTTTTGGAGATTTATTTACCGCTACAGGTTCAGTCATTTGAGGAGCTCTTAATAAGGTTTGAATTCGGGTCTTCGAAGTAACTCCGTGACTCACCGCTTAATATGTTCTAATGTATTCTTATCCTTTTAAAGCGAGGGAGGAAACATTATATTTCCTTGCTCTAAATGAGGACGAATAAACCTGTTAAAGATTGCGTGGAAAGTTCTACTACTGAAGTGGTCAAAAATATACTTCAAGGTTACCTCACTAAATACTGTGTCATGTGTTGTTTATAGCCCCCACCACGATTTTAGTGTGACTCGTCAGTTTTCGCAGAAAAAACAATCTTTCGTGTCATAAGTGGTAAATTTTAAATACCCAATATCTTTAAGGCGAGTCGATTGGTTTTTTACATCTACTTGTTATTCCGGTACGGTTCCAGGTCTTTGACAATATCCATCAAGTGGTAGTCTAGCCGTTCGATCACTACAATCTTAGTTGTTATGTTAGACACTTGTGGGTTCGTTTATCTCTGCCTCGCGGAGTGTAATGATGAGGTTCTAGTAGTGTGGCGCGTGCTACTTATGCTGAAAAATTTAAGTGGTGTATACCATCAATCGGATGTAGAATGTCTGCCGGCAGAAGACTGAAATCAAAACAGGATTGAAACGGCAGAGCAGTCAAAATAATGGCAAAATTAGAGGATCAATGAAGTACATAAAGGACAACCCAAAAACGTTGTGCAAACAAAATATTTAATATATGATTTCCGTATTTCACTGAGCCACTGCGTAATTTCGCGTTTAAAACTAATTAGTTTATCCGAGGCTTTACCAGAGAGAAATGTTAGGTGATAGATCACCATCACAGTTTTTAAGCAACGTTCAAGTCTTAGTGGGCGACGACACATTGCGTGAAACAGATATAAAACAAGGATGAACACAAGCTCTCCCATGCTATGTCCAACACTGTTTGAATGCACAAGACCCTGAAACCTATTTATCTCAGTGCGTATTGTAGGTAGAATATTGGAAAGAGGTCCACCAAATGGATCACGTACGATACATCATGCACAAAAAGAAGAATCATCGAAAGACTCAGTCATAGCAGGACTCGTTGTGAGTGTGAAAGGTCCCACAGAGGTTGTCACCAAATCGTGAATGCGTCATACAGACAGGAGCAGGTGACCACAACGACCGAGATCCAAACCAAAGAACAGGTCACAAATGTGACAATCTGGGTAGGTCTATTGGTATTAATAAAAGCTTGGGGTCGAATCATCCACGTGTAGTCAACTATGCACTCGGCCTAAAAAGATATATATATATATATAATATATATAATATATATATATATATATAAGACAAATAACCCCTTCCAGATTGTTGCGACTGAGGAGAGGTAAATGAACAGTTGCTTGTTATGTGTTAGAGACAGAAATTCAGGTTTGAACTTTTCGGTGAATACTGGTGCTCTTCTCAATATCATTCCTTAGAAAAAAACCGAGTTGGGTGGAGAAACTTTCCTCAATTACACTTCAAGCGGCCAAAAAACTAAATTCACGACGTTTGAACAGTAAACTTTGACACTCGATTTGGGATTTACGAGGCAATTCTCTTTGTTATTCACTGTAGCTGCTTTAGATCTGACAATACTTGGAGTGAACGTTTTAGAGAGATATGAACTACTAG